TTTTAATGTAAGTATTTACAGCTGTAGATTTTCCTCTGAGAACTGCTTTCACTGCCCCTCATAAACTTTGGTATGTTGTATTTTTATTTTCACTCATCTCAAAGTATTTTCTTATTTTCCTAGTGATTTCTTCTTTGACCCATTGGTTGTAAGGTTATGTTGTTTAATTTCCACATACTTGTGATTTTTCCAGTTTTTCTTCTGTTACTGGTTTTAGTTTCATTTCATTGTGGTTGGAGAAGATACTTTGTATGATTTCAATCTATTAAAATATGTTGAGAATTGTTTTATGGCCTAACATATGATCTATCTTGAGAATGTTCCATGTGCACTTCAGAAGAAAGTGTATTCTGCTGTTGACTAGAGTGTTCTCTAGATATCTCTTAGGTCTAGCTAGTATATAGTGTTCAAGTCCTCTGTTTTCTTTTTGATCTTCTGTATAGATGTTCTATCTATTATTGAAGATAGTGATTGAAGTCTCCAACTATTATTGTAGAACTTTTCTCCATTCAACTCTGTCAGTGTTTACTTGATATGTCTTGTGGGGATCTGTTATTTGATGCATATATATTTATAATTGTTATATCTTCTTGATGAACTGGCCCTTTTGTCAATACATAATGTCCTTCTTTGTCTCTTGCAAAACTTTTGACTTAAAAATCAATTTTGTCTGTTACTGCTATAGCTACCCCAGCTCTCTTTTGGTTACTATTTCTTGGAATATCTTTTTTCCATCCTTTCACTTTCAACCTATGTGTGTTTGAGGGTCTAAAGAGCGTCTCTTTTAAGTAGCATAAATTTGAAACATGTTTTTTTAATCCATTCTGCCACTACCTGTCTTTTAATTTGTGAGTTTAATCTATTTACATTTAAAGTAATGTAATGTAAATTACTTTAAATGTAAATAGATTAAATGTAATTGAATTACCTTTAAAGTAATTACTGATAAGGAAGGACTTCCTTATAAGTAAGGAAGGACCATTTTGCTTTTTTTTTTTTGTATGTCATATCCTTTTTGTTCCTCAACTCCCCCACTAACTCCTTCTATGTTTGATTTTTTTGTGTACTATTTTGATTCTTTTCTTTGCTGTATAATTTTTATTTTCTTAGTGCTTACCAAGGGGATTTTTAACATCCTAAATTTGTAGCAATCTAGTTTGACTTGATACCAACTTAGTTTCAATAGCATACATTAACTCTGTTCCTATTTACCTCTGTCCCGGCCCTTTTGTTGTTATTGTCATAAATCACACCCTTACACATTGTGTGCGTATTAACATAGGCTTAAAATTCTTGATTTATGCATGTCTTTTAATTCATATAGGAAGCAAAAGAGACATTACAGACAAAATATACAGTAATACTAGCTTTTATATTTACCTATGTAGTTCCTTTACAATGATCTTAATTTTTTTGTATGGCTTCAAGTACTGTCCTTTTGTTTCTGCCTGAACAATTCTTTTTAGCATTTCTTTTGGAGAAGATTTGCTAGTAATAAAGTTCCTTAGCTTTTGTTTATCTAGAAATGTCTTAATTTCTCCTTCACTTTTGAAGAATAGTTCAGCCAGATATGGAAGTTTTGGTGAATAGTTTAACCAGATATAGAATTCTTCGTTGACAGTGTTTTTCTTTTAGCACATTATCATCTCACTGCCTTCTAGCCTCCAAGGCTTCTGATGAAAAATTTGCTGCGTTCAGGATTTTCTGTTTGGCTTTCAATGGTTTGATTATTATGTGTTTCTTGAGGATCTCTTTGAGTTCATCCTTCTTGGAGTTCATTGAGTTTCTTGGATGTATAGATTTATACCTGTCATCAAATTTGGAAAGTTTTCAGCCATTTTTCTTCGAATATTTTTCTGCCTCTTTCTCTGTGTCTTCTCTTTCTCATAATATATATGTTGGTACATTTAATGGTGTCCCATAGATTCCTTAGGCTCTGTTTATTTTTCTTCATTCTTTTTTCTTTCTTCTCCTCAGACTGGGTAATTTCAGTTGTCCTGTCTTGAAGTTTGCTGATTCTTCTGTCTTCTCTAATCTGCTATGGAAGCTCTCTAATGAATTTTTTATTTCGGCAGTTGTACTTTTCAGCTGTAGAATTTCTATTTGATTCCCTTTTATCATTTTTGTCTCTTTATTCATATTCCCTACCTGTACATACATCCTTGTCCTCATTTCCTTTAGTTCGTTGTCTGTGTTTCCCTTCAGCTCTTAGAACATATTTAGTTATTTATTTACTTAGCTTTTATTTATTTATCTTTTTTGTGAGGAAGGTTGGCCCTGAGCTAACACATGTTGCCAATCTTCCTCTTTTTGCTGAGGGAAGCTTGTCACTGAGCTAACATCTGTGCCAATCTTCCTTTGTGTTATGTGGGATGCTGCCACAGCATGGCTTGACAAGCAGTGCTAGGTCCATTCCCAGCATCCCAACCTTTAAACCCCAGGCCACTGAAGCAGAGCATGCAAACTTAACCACTATGCCACTGGACCAGCCCCCTCTTGGAGCATATTTAGACAGTTAATTTAAAGCCTTTGTTTAGTAAGGCAAATTGTATTTGGACTTCTTCATTGGCAGTTTCTGGCATTTTCTTTTTTTCCTATGAATGGGCCATTTCCTGTTTCTTTGCATACTTTCTAAGTTTTTGTTGAAATCTGGATATTCTAAATATTATAATGCAGTCACCCTGAAAATCATTCTCTCTCCTCTCCAGTGGCTGCTGCTGTTACTTGTTGAATTCTGCAGTTGCCTGTTTAGTGACTTTTCCAAACTATTTTTGTAAAGGCTCTATTCCTTGTTGTATGTGATCACTGAAGTCTCTGTTCTGTTATCTCTTGAGATCACCAGTGACTTGTTTTTGTTTTGTTTTGGGTTTTTTTTTGAGGAAGATGAGCCCTGAGCTAACATCTGCCACTGATCTTCCTCTTTTTGCTGAGGAAGATTGGCCCTGAGCTAACATCCATGCCCATCTTCCTCTACATTATATATGGGACACCTGCCGCAGCATGGCTTGATAAGCGGTACATAGGTCTGCACCTGGGATCCGAACTGCCAAACCCCGGGCCCCCAAAGCGGAACGTGTGAACTTAACCACTGTGCAACTGGGCTCACCCCAATCAGTGATTTCTTTTAATGTCTGAATTTAATAAAGGAAAAAAAGGTCTTTTGTCTGTTTAAATTCTTTTGACAGATATTTCCATGGAATCCCTTCAGCCCTAGGGGATTGAAACAATGGCCAGTCTTTTTGCTAGTCTCTCAGTGAACTGCCAAGCAAATCAAAACACACATCCCCAAATTTTGGAGGATGAGGTTCTCACCATTGTACCAGCAAGCTACTCCATGAACATGGGCCACTGTCCCTATAGCTGCCTGCTACGAGGATGAGGCATGCATAGTGGTAGCTGCCAGCAAAGTGTGAAATTTACTGACATATACCAGCTTCTTTCTTCATCTAAGCATTCCCGTGGATGCTGCAAGTGTCCAGCTAGACTTTAGAGTTCTGAAATAGTGGTTCTAACAGTTCTTGCCAGCTCAGTAATTGATTTGGTATAGGGACTGATTCCTGCTCTACTCTGCCGTTTTCTGTGATATCACTCCTTATTTATTCTTGTTGAGATAATAATCTCCATATTAAAGTATTATACTATTGTAAAAGAATTTGTTTAGGCATATATTGTAAAAGAATTTGTTTAGGTGAAGGCTGATGTGTGTATAAATAGGACCTGTATCAAATTACTTCTTACGAATTATTTACCATTATGCCTGTCCATCTCACAAATTAGGATAGTTGACCAAAAAGATGGAATTTTGCCTGTATATGTGGTGGTGTCACTGTGTATCAGTACATTCTATCTTGTGGCTGTGCAGAGAAAAATGGCATTTCTTTATTTTGTCTGTAGTTAATTTAGTCGTTTTCCTACTACTCCATGTGGGAGACCCACTGAGTAGCTCAGGGAAAAAATTTAATACAATTTAAAACTTAGTCTAGTATGGTGAGTTAAATAGTCTGTTTAGGTAGTGTCGAACTCTCTTTGAGATAAAAATGCTCACTCTTTGTCTGCTTTTTATCCTGGGATGGTTTGAGCATGTGGCGTGAGAGATGTGGCATATGTGATCTCTTAGCAGTGGAGAACTGCTCATTCCCCTTGGTTTGATGTCTACTACTTCTCTGGTCTCTGGGGCCATGTCCTGTAACCTCCTGGTTGTGTTTTCCTTGCTGGCATGTGCAGATGATGTCATGGCTCGTGTAACTCATAGTGGGGCCTTTCTGGTTGATAAGAACTTGGTGGTGCTCCTGGACTAGTTTATTCTCTCTTTGGCTCCTCTTCTCTGAGCTCTCCTGGGTATCTGCCATGTCTCTGTCTGGCCTAGAACTTCACTTATAACCTTTACTGCAGGGTTACCTGTTCCATGGTGGGCCCCATGGCCAACCCTCTAGCTCAGGAAATCTGAGTCTCAGAGCTTACCATTGCCAGACCACGTTTGTGAAAACGCTCTCTCAAGACAATGGCCTAGCCTGTAAAACGATGGACTTAGTATGTAATCCTTCTGTGCATGTCAGATGCTGCATATTGCTTCATTTTATCTCTTCACACTTCCTTTACTAGGAAAACCAAATAACTCCCCAGGCAGATGAATGCTTCTAGCAGACTAGGGCAAAGTCGTGTACTTGGAAAGGCAAAATAACAACAAAAATTATAATTTTCAAATATTATCTCTGTTCCACCATGTATATAGACATAATGAGGATAATATTTAAAAACTCATAGTAATTCTAAATGTATACAAACCTTAAATTTAAGGAACATAGGATCTTTAGAGAACATAAGTGATATGCATGAATATATATAGTATATATATAGTTGAGATATATATAGTATATGATTAAGATATGTTATATATAAACTAAATACATATATCATTAGGAGGTTTGGTTTCTTTCTATTAACATTTTCCCATGACTAAAATTACTATGATTTAACACACACCTTTCTTTCTGTTGCAGGACAGTTCGTGTATGGTTAAAGAGAGACAGTGGACAATATTGGCCAAGCATATACCATGCAATGCCTTGTAAGTATCTGGATCTCTGTCTTTAAAAATCAGACATGGACTCCAACTCCCCTTCTTTCCAAGATTGCCTTCTCTGTGTCTTCTTCTTGAGTAGCGATGCCTGAGGGTTAGGATTACCATTCTAATGGAAAGTGCCATATTAAATCATTTTAGCTCTCAGTATGTAAAATAAGAAAATTGGTCTGAAATTGACTATATATTCATAATTTCTGAATAAGATTAATGGAAGAAGGACATAAGCTCTCTGATTACAGCCATCTCTCTCTCTCTTGTTTTTTTTTAACTTTTTTGTCAAGTACTTCCTTAAACAACTCAAAATTTTGTCCGTTGATTACATTTGTGAAGTAAATTTGTTCTTGCATTATTGTTATTTATTCAAATTCAAGACATTCAGCATTGAACATTCAATTCTCAAAAGGATTTGCTTAGGATTGAAACTTTCTAATTAGAAGTCAATCCTGGGGCCAGCCTGGTGGTGTAGTGGTTAAGTTTGCATGCTCTGCTTCAGTGGCCTGGAGTTCACAGGTTCAGATCCTGGGCATGGACCTACACACTGCTCATCAAGCCATGCTGTAGCAGGGTCCCACATACAAGATAGAGGAAGACTAGCACAGATGTTAGCTCAGGGACAATCTTCCTCAAAAAAAAAAAAAAAAGAAGTCAATCTCATTTCCCTAAGATTTTATGTGAGAAATACATCCTTGCACTGATAAGTAGCGAATCTTTGAAATATAGTTTTTAAAAAATGTTATGACTGATTTTTAGACTCTTATACTGGCAAAAGTTCTCCTGCAGGAGGAGAAGAGCTGGCTCCCGAAAATAGGAAATTTCTTTTTAGTCTGCTCTTTTATCTTTAAAATTAATGAAGTTTGGGCATCCTATTCCATGTTTACTTAAGTATAAAATAATTATTTAAATTCATTATAAGTTATATTATTAAACATTTCCCTTACTCTCCTTCCTTCAAATCTTAATTAAAATTGACACCCTAGAAAAATCCCTCAGGTTTGTTGTTTGGGCTCAGGTCCCCTGGCTTGCTGCAGCGCGCACCTCTTCCCTGATACAAGTTTCCCAGTTTGAGAAATATTGCCGCAGTGAATAGCTCAGAGAAATTCATGCACATTGTGGCTCTGATAAGGTTTAAGCCTCTGGCAAAAGAATACTGTTATAACTTAAACAGCAATTTTGCCTGTTTATGAACAAATGAATTATTAAGGATGTAATGGTTTTCTGTGATTTTCAAATTATCTTTGAGTTTTGCATGTCTTTAGAATTTTGTGGTAAATAGATAACCCCGAAGCTGAACCAAGTATTCTCCCTTATGTTAAGGAAGAAGGAACTTCTTGTAATTCTGAGTACTTACTCTCCCCTTACTTATTGTGTCTCCAGTAGACACCATTATACAGCAAGGGCCCTCAGTGAACTTTCTTTTTAAGCTGTGGCAATGATGAGGGCTTAGGTAAATGGAAAGAGAAGGGAATTCTCTGATTGATGTTTTTCCTGATTTTTAAGTGGTATAACTAGTCTTACCTATGGTCTTGCTTTTTCATCAAACCTGATGCAATATCTAGCTGGAAGATGTGGGGAAAGTCTGTAGTCCAGCAAGTTAAAGTTGACCCCAGAGACCTGTCACTCCCATAACTGTGAAGATGGAGGAGAGGCAGACCTGGGCAGAATGATGAGGGCTTGAGGATAGTGGGCAAGGAATCTTCTTGAGATGAACATTAATGGGAACCTCATGAAGACACAGGGTCCTAAGCAATTGTTTACTCCTCTCCTTCCGCATATACATTTTGGTGTCTTCTCTAATGTTCTTTTTATTTGAATATCACTGAGAATACAGAAAAGCCTCTAGTTGCATTTTCATTGTTTATTAAACTGTAGGCAAGAATGACTAAAGTCTGCCATAGCTCCTGCACCTGACTTTGGTGCTCAATAAATATATACTTACTGAAGACTTGAATCCAATAATAAACATGAGCTTCCCTGAGAACCTTATCATCCATTTTCTTAATGACTGAACACAGCTTTGAGAAGGAGGACCCTCTAATTATTTGCATACTTTGCCGATGGCCTTCTACTAAAAGGAGTAAAAACGAAATTACTTTGCTATTAAAATGTCTTCTGTGGACCAGCAGCATCAGAGACACCCAAGAACTTAGTAGAAATGCAAATATTGGGTTCTACCCCAGATCTACTGAATCAGAATCTGCATTTTAGTAAGATCCCTAGGTGATTTGAATGTACTTTAAAGTTTGAAAAAATTGTCTTGTGGCATTATAGGCAACATGCTGATCTATTTACTCGTGCTTGTATGAACACATGTAAAGCCTCATGCATATATAGTGTTGATTTGTAAATACATGGATATAAGTACACATTCGGGTCAATGAAACGTTTACTGTGCACCTATTATGTATAGGCCGTTGAGCTGGGTGCCAGAATTTGCAGATGAACAAGGCGCATAAGTCAAGATGATTTCCATAATCTTTCATTGTTGGATTGCGCCACCACCATGGAGAGGTAAAAAACAAAAGGCTATGTTCTTCATATTTGGTCAGAAATTGGCTTTTATGGTCTTAGGAATCATGCATTCAAATGATATGGCGACTGCTCTCTGAGCAAGAATTTAAGCTTTGTTTAACTTGAGAACAGCAGAGTCTTATTGCATGAGGAAATAAGCTACATTTTCGGTCGGTTAGATAACCTGAAATAGATTTGAGTTTCCGAGGAGCTGTTTTGCAGTACTTTCTATTGAAAGGTGTTTTGTTAAGAGTTTACTTGGTGTTATCCTTAAATAACTGTTATGTGGTTTTAGTTACAAAATAAGTGAAAAGGTACAGTATATCTGGAGGCTATAATATGGACACCACAAGGCAGATATGACCGTATTGTGTGTTTATAGTGGTGTATAATAAGTAGTATTCCAAATCTAGAAAAAGCAAAGAAAATATACATGTAATATATGGCTTGTTTATTTTGTCCATTAAATACTTTTTAATATAGTAATTGTCATGTTCTGGGTAGGATAGTAATTTTCTGTAACATTGAAAAGAATTTAAAGTTTAGTGGAGGTTAAGTGAGTGGGAGGCATTAGATGAGAAAGAATGAATAGTGAAGGCTAAGTTTGAAGGCTGGGAGTGAGCCTGAAAGGAACAGTGTGATAAGGCTGTGCGAGCTTGGGGGAGTGGCAGACAAGAGAGAGATGAGAAGCTGACACATCATGATCAGAAACACAGCCGCTGCTTTGGGGGGTGTCCTTATACCCTGTCTTTTCTGAGAAAGCTCCCACTTCCCCTCTAGGAGGGAGCCCGGAGAAACCAGACTTGCCTGGTTAAGGCTGTTTGCCTCTGAGCCAATCTGATTTTCCCAGGAATGTAGAATTTGGAGTAGGAAATGCTCAGCTGGTCCCTTGAATTGGGAACATGTAAACCCTACAGCTGGAAGGCATTTGAGTGCGTAAAGCAACAGTGAAAGCGGATCTGCTTAAAAGAACTGTGAATCAGGGAGGAAGGACCACTTGGCTCCAGAGGGAGAGAAGTCTGAGCAAATGATTCCTGAACATTTTCCTCCTCTTCCTTCTGACACCCAGAAGCCTGGCTCTGCTCCTGCCTTTGAGTTCAAGAGATACCCCCCTTACTGGATATGCCCATCGGTGCTGAAGTTCACTCCGGTGGGTTTCTGTTACTGATGGCTGCAAGTGTCTAACTCAGCCTAGCCCGGAGTGTACACCTCCTGATTCCTCTCTGTTCAGTTTCTCCTGGATCTCTGTATCTTTAAAGAGAAAGAACTGAGCCACGTCCCTATTGGTGCCACTGTGGTGTTGAGCTGAAAATAGTCTGGGAAAAGTGAGGGCAAGTAAAGAGGAAAAGCAGAAAGAAATATTCATCCTGTTTTCTTTAATTTCCTTCAACAACTCAACAAATTTTAAATATTTCTTCTGTATCAAACACTGTGCAATGTACTAAGGATATACTGGTTAAATACGGGAGGTGATTTCTGTCTTCATGTTGTGTACAGCCTGGTGAGGAAGACAGACCTAAAATAAGTACCACCCATGATGCATGGGGAGTGTTAGAACATGAGAAATAGGCGTAATGGGAACATGGTCACAGAGGCTCCCAGAGGAAGGTCCATTTAAAACCCCTGCTGTCTATAGAAAATTTGCGGTGGCTGGTAACTTGTTTTTTAGTTCCCTATTAAGCTGGTTTTTATGGATGAGTGAGAAATAAGAGCATTTTCTTATCAAATATTCTTTTAAAAACTTAATTCCCTCTTGACCTATCTCACGTAGTGGCTGCTTATTGCCTGTGACAAGATCAAGTTACAACCTCTGCAACTGGGACCTGCCTGAGCTTGGAAACCAGAGAGGGGCCTTTCTGAGAGTACAGAGTTGAGGTTTCAGTTGTAGCCATAAATGTGATTATTTGTTCCAGGCTTCTAACTGATACTATTTCAACCACCACATTTGCATTACATTACAGAGAAAAAAAAAAACATGAAAAGCACAGGCATTCCTATTTTCATGGTTGAGTTATTTTAGATTTACTTTACCAACTAGGTTTGCCATTCCTGGGATCAGACAAAGGAATGGAGCAGAGAGCTCAAGCAGGAGCCAGGGTGGCAGGTGTTTGAGATTTTTCTTACTCTATTAAAGTATTGGGTATCGTGTCTAGGCCTTTATTGCCAACTTTTCTCTGTGAGTATGGAGAATAGGTAAAACAACATGGCTGCCAAAGATGTAGTGAATCCGAGGCTAAGAGGGCCGGAGCCTCAGGACTGAGGGTGTGTTGGACAATTGGAAAACCTCTGTGGGTTCTCTTGTTGCCAAGACAGGCAGGTGGAGTTTACTTTGGCTCTAAGTGTTTATGAATTTGTCCTTAAAGCAAAACAGGAGACAGTTTTTTAGAGATAATTACAAGTAAAAGGTGCACCTAACATAGTAATAAAATGACCTGTTTTGTCCTATTTCCAGCTCTCTGCCTTGGCCTTGTGGGATG